TGTCCGATTCAGAATTGGGACAGTCCCGAATTAGAATTGTGTAAATTTAGCACAAACAATATTCGATTTACTAATCGTCTAAACAAAAGAAATTTAATCTGATAGATGCATACAATTGTATTATTTTACCAAATGCTGGAATATTGAAGATAAATCACCGTTTATTAACATAAACTCAAATGGACTTGAAGTGAATTATACAGGCAAGATGAAAAAGAGATTAGATTGGTAATTTAATTAAAGATCCTGATGATAAAGCTTTATAGTTCGACCAAATTATCCGATTCCTTCACGAGGTGGGAGATTTTATTTTGAAATTAATATCATCGATAATGGAGAAATGGGTAACATTAATAATCATTCATGCTATAAACATCAACATTCTACTTGTACTTGTAATTTTTCAAAATCATCAACTCAATTTATTAATAAATCGGTTATTACACAAAGCAAAGCGATAAAAAAAAATAGAATATTCAAATATGGAACAGGTTATATAAATAACATACTCATTCCTGGTAATACAGATGTTTATTTTATTTTCTTGCCATTGTGGATTAATACCTATAACATAAATCCTTTAGGATAGAAATATAAGGATAAAGATAATAAGGAAGACTATAATAATAAGGCAAATGAATCGTGGTAGTTCGGCTACCATGGTGACAATAGATATTCTCTTTATCCCAGAAGTGAACAAACCACCATAGACTACTGGTGATACAGTCTGATGCTATTTAAATTTTAAAAATAAGATGGAGTTTTATATATTTTTTTAATTAATAGCGATGAATAATGAAGATATTAACAATAAACCAGATGATGCATTAGCACTGGAGTACGTATGAGCCAATTTGTATCACTATGCAGAAGAAGGAATCCCATACCCTAAAACTTTTTGATAGTGGAACAGGTTATTTGACAATGCAATTATCTGACAGATAGAGGTTCGAAACGTAGAGGCAACTATCCGAATCTTAATTTCAGTTTCCAGATGAGTTTTCGGATATCCGAATATGGCCAGGTAATATCCGGATACAATCCGGATATTTTTAAAAAGAAATATAAAATATATAGAATCAATTTGGCCAAATTAGTTATATAATATAAATGTGTATTATTTTAAAATTTTATTATATATGATTTAAAATATTAATGCAAATCCAACTATGAAAATCTAAGTATTTTTTAATTTTTGCATATGTATTTGGCAAAATCTGTTTTATTTTATTAAATTAGCAAATTAAATTTATATATCGGCAAAATCTATTTAATTAAGATTATATGTATATTTTTACTTAAATATAAAACATTTAAAATAAACAGTATTGAGCTTTAAGAACAATATATACTTTTATTATAATATATAAATACAGTATAACTATATAACTTGTACAAAATGGCATATTAAAATTTATCTAAATAGCATTCGGATACTATCCGGATAATATCCGAATCTAAAATTTAAAAAAGTTCGGATATCCGGATTTATAAAAAATATTAACGGATGATTATAAAAGTATCCAGATCCAACCTCTACTGACAGACAGCTTACTAGACAATTAACTATATCCTTTTTGAGGCGGAATGTTTATTTTTAACACTACACAACAATGACAAATGGCATGCCCTAATAGGTTCAGGGTAATAATTATACGATAATCTAATGGGTTTGATGTATATTCATTAAATCCTTCATGCAGAATGGACCCTCAATAAATCAAAACAACCGTTCTAATTATTCGTCAGACCAATAAAAAAATTAAATAAGGGGTCTAAACTAAATTTAATGACTCTATACGGGGCCCAATTGCAACAAATTAGCCCATATGATAAAAAAAAGTGTTATTTCATCATAGACGGATATAAGAATGTACTTGTTAATATAACAAATGAATTAACCAAATCATCAGAAACAAAGCAAAAGAGTACGTATGAACTAAGCTACAGAGGAAAAATATGATAATGTATTTGAAGATTTCACTAGGGCGGCATCCATATTTTACGTTAAACAAGTATTGTCATTAAAGATAATACAAACATAATACTATATGGCATTCCCTAATTTTATATAATACAATATAAAATACAATAGTAGTTTAACGTAAATTGTGAATGCCGCCTGGATTATTAGAAATTAAACCAGATAACACGATGACACTAAGATATCGAAGAGAGATTAATGATATAATGAAAAGGTATAATGAATCAACTACTGACTTGGAGCTAATAAACCAAATGATATATGGACAGTGGAGACCCTTAAATCAGTTAAAGAGTCGTAAGTGTAAAATGAGCTTGTAAATTTTAGCGCCTTAAAAAGCTTAGCCACATATTATGTGTCCCTATAGCAATAGTAAGTTTTGTAAGAATTTGTTTTTACATACAGTAGATCGGATACGTATTACTTCACAGAAAATCATTTCAGACACCTTATTTCATAGACAAGTTTATTTTAAAGACAATTAATTCACAGATAGTTTACTTAATAGGCAGTTCATTTACAGACATTAATGTTAAGATCTAAACTAATATAAAATCTAAATTGGTTTGGTGATGTTAGGATTGTCTTATCAAGGCGATCATTTTGATAATTAAACTATCCAAAACAGACCACTGAATTGGGAGTTATTCTCTTTTAAGATTGTCTATAAATGAACCATCTACAAAATGAGCTGTCTATGAATTGAACTGTATATGAATTAATTGTCTTTAAGAATAAACTCGTCCATGAAATAATTTTCTGTAAAGCGATACGTATCCACAGTAAATCACAATAGAAATCATGAGAATTCGAGTAGGTTGTAACAGAATCCGAATACAAACTAATCCTACAAATGATCTAAACCACATACTGTGTCTCTATAGTGAGTAAGTTTGTATAAGAATTTCTTGTGATAGTTCCAATAAAACAATTTGCTTTTAATTAATTATATACAAACACATTATTATATTTATTTCATCAATATTTAAGATTTAAAAAAGAATTTAATAATTGGGCAACCGGCAATGATAAATATATTCAGAAAACTCAATGCAGATACGTATAAAAGCATCATTGAATGGATAATTTTCGACAAATTTGCTAATATAAAGTATATTGCTAAAGGAGGTTTTGGTATTGTTTTTAAGGCAGTATGAACTGATGGATACATTAAGAGATATAACTATAGTAAGAGTCAATGGGGAAGGAAGTCGCAAATAGAAGTTTGCTTAAAAAGGTTTGACAATTTTCAAGAAATTAAACAAGAATTTTTGTTATTATTATGATTATCGTTATTATTATTATTATCGTAATTAATTTAGATGGAAAATCAACATAAACATAGGATTATTCAGCAGTTGAAATTTATGGATCCAAATTCAGTCAACTCTTTCTAAGTGCAACCTCTCTAAGTGCAACTTTATTTAAATGCAACTTTAAATTCTTTCTCAAGTATATGTTTGATCTCTATAAATGAAAATTTTCTTATTTATTTTCTAAATGCATGCTGCTAAAAGTTTGAGTTGCACTTAAAGAGAATTGACTGTATTTTTCATACTGATTAACTCTTTGAACTTGTTTTAGTAAGCAAGCCTGTTAAAGATCCAAATTTTGACTATCTTTTTAAAGTTAATATTTACTAGTATTTGTATTGAAATACCTAATTGTTTTTTTCAATTGGCAATTGTTTTCAAATAAAGTATATTAAAATAGATTATTATATTGGGGCATATTATTGCTACAGCATTTACATAACATACATATTTTACTAGTTAACTACAATTAATAAATGAACTATCGTAAATGACAGGACAAAAGACCTGGGTCTCTTACTTTCCGGCAATATCTAAAACCTATAATAAGCCGAGAATAATATATGTTTGAGTTTATATACTAAAAGAGAAATGTTAAAGAGCATTCATATTTTTCATTTCTAAGATACATAGGATGATCTACATCACATAAAACTTATTTCTTATTTTCTTTTATTTAGTATCCTTTTTGAACAAAACATCTTTTAAAAGCTCTCACACTGTTACATCTTTCGATCTACTTTTCAAGCCAAAAATATGCAAAGAAGCATAAAGGCAAAATTTGTTGAACAAGCCGTCGAATAATTTGTACATAAAAACCTTAATAAGTTGTCTTATGAAACATTGTAAGACTTTGGGTAAGTTCTTAACTTTATCGACTAATACAATATGGTAAAATTTTAAATGTGACAAATCATGTAAATATAGCATAGATCATATATCATTAGTAAATTGATTAAAATCTGTTAACCATACAAGGCTATGCGTTGCCTGATCGTTCAATTTTGTTAACTGCAAAACTGTTAAAATCAATAATTGTGGCAACTAATGCTGAAATTGGCTGATGCATTTTAATCTAAAATTTAAAAATTTTTTGGGTGCTTGGTTGGAGAGTTAGGTTAGGATTGAGAGTTAGCGTTATTAATAAAAGAGCATATATGGGCTTCCGTCAATAGAACTTAGGCAGATTGGCATTTTAAAAAAAATCAATACCTAAACTTCTACTACTTATATCTCGATAAATTTCAAAGCTATTTTTATGACTGAATAGTCAATAGAAAGCTTAGATCATTTGACTAGTCATTCATGAGAATAACTTCGAAATTTGTTGAGGTATGAGTAGTGAATTGATTTTTTTAAAAATTTTGATCTGTTTTGATTTCTATTGACGGCAGCACATATGAATTTTAGTAGGTATTATAGACTTAAATGGAGACCCTAGATTTTCAGTATAATAATTGTTTTTATAAACATGAGACTATGCAATAATTTAAATATGAATTTTAATAGGTATTATAGACTTAAATGGAAACCCTAAATTTCAGCATCAGTCAATTTAGCATAAGCTGCCATAATAATTGTTTATAAACATGTGACCATGCAATAATTTAAGATGCTATTAATTTAAAATTAACAATTTCTATATTAAATAAGTATATGAAAATTGCAAATGTTTTTATAATAGTACAAAGAGTTATAATTTACTAGAGATTAACCCTGGCGGCGTATTCTAAAATATTAGAAGTGATCCTGTCATTGAGTTTTTTAGTATGTCCAGATGCAATACGCAAAATGTCCTCCTTTATAATTAATGAGAAATTTGGTGTGTGTTTAAGTGAATATCATATAACAAATAATTTGCAAAAAAATAGATAGAAATGCTTACTGTAAGTGCATAATTTCCCAATATATCTACATGGTCAGCTGTTCTTGCACCACCACGAATATTTAGACCCGGTCCTTCCTCATGTTCAAATTCACGAGTAATTACTTTAATCCCTGCAGGATTATATAGCGAATTTTTCCACCCTTTAGTGCACATATATCCTAACGATAATAACGGTACAGTACCGTCTCTATTATATATAATCAATGACTTTAGTAAGAACTTTAATCATATAACACAACAAATTATGATTCTATCTACTATGAGTAATTACCCTTCTCCATTATGAACACCGCTTTTTAGATTTGGATCTTGATTAGAATTAAGCGAACTATCGATGAAAAGGTTGTTTGAAAACTTATAATCATCTTCGTTGGAACTCTCATTCGAATCTATGTCATGTGCATAGTAATAAGTTCTTTCGGTATCCTTTCCCCAACCATATAAACAATATATTTTCATTTCAGGAGCATAAGGTAATTGTGATTCAAGTGGATTTGCCCATTTAGTATGGTCTTTCAGATTATCATGAATTTCATCTTCAGAAGTAGCAATTCCAAAACTATAATTATTGGATAACATTTCATTATAAAATGAGTCCGTGTGTTGTTGTAAAAGATTTATACCAGTAGTGCTTGTGTGCTTATAAATCGTTTCAGCTTCAGTATTGTTGGTGTCATTATTATCAGACTTGTTATAAACAAAGGAACGTAAAGTTAACAGGGAACCATAAGTATGTATCGAACTCTCATGATCATCAGGAGCATGAGTCGTGTTGCCCCATATCGCAGTACCACCCTTTGGTAGCATGGAGGAAAGTCCACCCCAACTACGAAACAGTTCTGATCGCTCACGTTTAGAGAAAAAACGTTCAAGAACATAAATGCCAAAAGCACCTAATTCTACAGTATCTCGCATTTCTCCTATAATCATAATATTTAATAAATCATATGAAAATTTGTTGAGTATTTAAAAGAACAATACCTGAAAGTAATGCAGACAATGCTTTTGGCACACCCAACAAAGGGCCACCAATATTAATAAAAGATTCAATGTGATCGTTAACCCAAGAAGATCCACCATTGCCACCTAATGGGGATTCTACCCATTTGAAGAAATATAAAGTAACGCAAGAGCCTGAAATTATTGAAATAAAGTTAATTGTAATAATATTAAATAATAAATAAAATATATATAAATTAATGGTAGAAAATAAACCAACAAACCCATTGAATGACTAATAAGTATAGATTTTTTATTTTCGGTTGATTTTATTAATTCAATGTTAGATTTTAGCTTCGAAAAATATTTATCCCTAACTTCAAGATTAAAGAATGAAAGTCTCCAATCATAAGCAGCGAGATGCATGTTGTTAGAATCATAACCGATGGCTGCAAAACTTTGTATCATTTTACCTAGAAAGTGAAATAAAAAGAAAATTATTTATGTTTATATAACATTTAACTTAAATAATGATACTTACCCCAAACCCAATAACTGTCAAAATATTTGTCATAACACAAATTCTTTATAAGTCGGTTATAATTAAATCATAATGAATCATTTAATAAACTTACCCCGGGAAAAGGTAATCAGCAGCATCTAGTCCTATTAGTTAATAATTTAAAAGATTAACATAAAAAATACTTTTAAGAAAAAGGCAAATGGAAAAAATTGGTAATTAATAATTCATACTAACCTTGTGCAGCCCGCAATTTTACATCAGGTGGATCCAAACCAGTGACAGGATCAAGTTTCATATTACTTTCCCAACATTCTTTGTCCAAAAGAACAGCTCGAAACATTGCTTGAAATTAAAAAGAGAAAGGAAGCACGCACGTTGACGACAAATCACTTTATTAATGAGATATCGAATTTTATTTAATTATATATTTGTTGGTCACGTAATCTTACTAGTAGTCCCCCACATTCTCTTTCTAAAATAAGGTCGTGAACAATTAGAAGTACTCCAACTTTCTAAACCCTTAGTAGAAGTATTATAAAACAAACTATAGTTTTTGTATTAACCAAAAAAAAAAATATAGGTAAAACTATTTTATACATAATAACGAACTTAATACTTACGGTTGAAACAATTCCAGGAATCAAAATTACAGGAAAATTGGCTTTTACACCTTCTTGAGCTAAATTTAATCCAGGCATGAATTCAGTATCTTCTAATATACTTATATTCGGCTTTAAAAAAAGTGTAATATTGCCAAATAGTTCGTCCACTAGAATATTAGCAGGCAAAATACTAGTAAAATCCAAGTCCGAAAAGGACTCAGATATAAAATTTGAAAAGTTGGGGCCCCCTGGAGCTATCACTGAAGCAATAAAGATACCAAGTATGATACCAGCAGTGAATACGACGCGCTTTCTTGTAAAAAAGGGCCTTTTTTCATCAAGTTTCAAAAAATAAGTATCGTTCATTATTTCTTCTACTTCTTCTTGAGTACTACTATTCTTCTGTCTGCGTTTAGAATTAGACGTTCTCGGTTTATAAGGAAGAGCGGTCGATTCAGCGTAGGCAACATTATTATCTTTTGGAGTATGGTCAGTTTCTTTGTTTTGAATTTTATTGGGACGTTTACTCATTTTTTTTAGCTTCTAACGTTTCTCATTAGCAAATTTATTTTTTTTTTCAAATCCGTAAATTCGAAAATTTATCAGTTATGCACAACGGCAATTTTTATGATCGACACGTTAAAAAAAGGAAGGCATTATATTTGATATTTTTGTTTCAAAACTTGGTGATCCGATAATGTCGTATTGATTACTAAATAAACTTGTAATATATGCAAGAAACCTGTAAGAAAACAAAAGAAATTTTTCCTATAAACAATGTAAAAACAAGATTATATAATAAAAAGTTAAGCATAATTAGTTATGCGGAAATTTCTAAAATTTCCTATTCAATGGAAATAATATACATTGTTATTATATGCGTATACTGAGACATACATGAATAAAAAAAAAATTTTTTTTTTTTGAATAGAAATACGACTAACAAATTTTAATTGTATTAGATAATAGCTTTAATTTTCGTAAAAAGAAATGTTTACTAATCTTAATTTATCATGTTTTATCATCAATAGTTTGATGCATCGGCCGACGACCGATCAGAGCTCAGTTCTCTGATTGCGATTTAAAATAACTCGTAAGAAAAACACAAATTAATAATGATATACCGTATCGTAGCGAAATAATGCCTCGGGCGTTATTTCGCGACGATACGGTATAATGTAATTTAATCTTTGCCAGACTATTCTGTTATATAGCCTACTTTTACAATTTTTTGAAAAATGAGTTTTTATATATTTTGGCATGATTAACATTTTCAATTATAAATGAAAATCAAAGAAAAATTACATGAGGCTAACACATCACGAGATTACCCGATAGTCACCTGCTACCTTTAGCCAATCAAAATCGTGAAATTTGTTAATCCCGAATCAGTCCGAAAATCAAATAAAAACTCAATTATCGTTATCTCAAAATTAAAAATGGGCTGTTTCTATTATCTCAAAATAAGATATATGTAAAAATGGGCTGTTTCTCTTGATAGCACCCCATATCGATATTACTTTAAAATAAATTGACAGATTTAGCTCAGCCCTGACTCAAAATGAGATACTTTACATGTGATAATTAAATATTGTTTTTTACAAAAATACACGATCACTATATCAAGATCACGGGGTATTTTTAATACATATATCGATTAATAAAAAAGATTTCTTACGTATTAAAAATTCTCTTTTTCCACTATGTATTGTTGATAAACTTTTCGTCAAAGTTTGTGTCAAATGGGTGTTACAGAATGAAAATCTGTATTTAATGAATTACTATGATCAGTTACGGGGTTTCACTTCAATCATGTGTACTTGATAATGTAGTTATTGGATGTGAAGCAGCCAATAACAGAATGATTTGTAAAATGGTTCATTTTATCTTGCTGTGAACATAGCATCCAATAACGGTTTTATCGGGTGGCTTATGACGACCGAACCAACAGAATAATTCGAGTTCTTTTGGTGGTAATTGCGTCATTATCAAATAACGAATTTATTTGATGATGCAATTATCACAAAAATAACTAATTATTCTGTTGGTACGATCATAGTAAGCTGCCGGATATTAAAACATTTTTCACTTATTTGAGGTTGTCTAGCACTAAATAGTGATGCAGGCGGAACTGTCCCAATGAACCGTACGACAAATAGCAAGTTACGGTTACGGTTGCGGCAAAAAACCGCACGAATCCCAAACGCCGTATGGATCCCAAGTGCCGTATGAATCCCAAATGCCGTATGCATCCCAAGTGCCAGATGAATTCAAAATATCGTATCGATAAATTAAAATTTTATATCTACCGCTATAGCTATATGACCAATATGGCATTTAATTAATCAATACTACAATCAATATGTGTAATTAATTAGATACGTATGAATATATGTAATATATTAATCAATGATGTGATAAAAATAATTTAAACGTAATAAAATTAGGTTATATATTTTCTTGAAATTATTATCCATTAATGAAAACTTTTTTTACAATGAATTTGAACAAAGACGATTTGGTTCTAGATAATGACAATTGCCTTTATCTGAATTAAATTATAACATCAATCAACTTTTTACATGTTATCCTTCTACTTTTCAACTACTATCAAAACCTCTTCAAGAATGAAATAAAATTATTCTATCTCAAGAAGTGGATAGTCAAAATAGCTCATCTAGAAAAGAAAATTTTCTGTCTAATCAGCCTAAAAAAAAACATCATAGTGGTCCTAAATAAGATCAAGTTTGAGATTATGTTAATATTGGAAATCATTTAGAAGATGAGTATTATAGAGCTAGTTGCAGATATTGTAAAGTTGAATGAAAAATCAGATACTTAAACATCATTTAGCACAAGAATGCATGAAAATTCCTTATAAAATTAAAAAAATCTGAAAAGATAATTTAGCAATTAAGAAAAAAAATAATCAAAAGATGAAATAAAATTGAAACTAAATCAGAATTGTTAAGCATAATGTTAGAAGAAAGATAGTAACAAATTGATAATATTATTTTAAAAGGTTAGGTATGCACTAAAATTCTTTTAAAACAATTGATAATCTTTTTATTATCAATATATTTAAAACCTTAAATGCTAAATATAATCTACTTTCTTGTTATATTCTTTTTAAGCATATTCTTGATAAAGAAGTAGCTAAAATTGAAAAGTCTATTAATGCTAAATTAGATAATAAACAAATCTAATCTTAAATAATAAATTTATTATTTTTTTTGAATAAAAAAATACTAATATTTTAATAATTAATAATATATTTTTTAGTACTTGATAGGTGGATTGCATCAACAAATACATTATTCTATAATTATATAATTACAACCTTTATCTATCAAAAGCACTTGTACTAAATTAAAGATTACTCAGTTATATCACAAATTAAAGATTTTTTAGTTGAAGAAATTAATAGTATTTTAAGTAAAATTGAAGTAAAAAAGTTCATTACAATTGTTATGAATTATGGTTCTAATATAAGATGAGCATGATGATTAGTAAATGAATGATTTAATTTTATACTTAATATATAATACAGTATATTAGAATAATAATCAAAAAATATTACAAAAAGTTTTTCATTGATTCTATTTTATAAATTTAATCAAAACACAAAATTATAAATAACTCAACAAATATATACAAAAAAACATTAAAAAAAAAGAAGCAAACAAGCAAAATATATAAGTAGAATACAAAGTTGTAATAAAAGAAGAAAACTAGAAGACATAGTAACATTTTCTGTTAAAAAATAAAAGAAATTTTGAAAAAATTAAAACTTTTTAAAGAATTACAGCTGATCTGAAAAAGAACAGACAACAATATATAATCAGTTATCTGAGCAAACAACAAGTAAACAAATGCAATATGTACAAATTTGAAAATAAACAACATGTACAACAAAATAAACAAAGAAACAGATAATAAAACTAGATATATAAACTAGACTAGAACAATATTTGGGGTATATAAAAGTTACACAAATACAGAACTTACTTGATATGTTTACAATTATAAGACAAAAATAATAAGATATACAGATAGCAAAAAAATCATCAAAGTTTTAGATATAACAAAACCAATAAGTTCAAATGATATAGAGTTAATAGCAAAAAGCTTAGTAATAGAAGATGTAGACAGAATTACAGTATATTATTTGCTTCTATATAGTCAAATAATAATAGCACTTAGAAAAATAAATAGTATAGAATTACAAAACAAAAATATAGAAGAATGTGTTAAGAAAATTAGAAAAATGAGCTTGAATCTAAAATCAGTTGAATTTTTTTTAAATATAAAATCAAAAAAGAATGTTAAAAAAGAAGATAAAATACAAAAAATAGAAATCACAACAAGTAACAAGAATGTTAAAGTGAAAAGCAATAAAAGAAAAAGATAACATTTAGAAAAAGATGAAAAAAAAAGAAAACAAAACAAAAAAGATGAAAAACAAGAAAAGAAAACAAAAAAGAAGAAAGAAAAGACTATTGATAAAACAGAAAAACAAGAAATAAAAAAATTACAAACTAAGAAGTTAGAAAAACAACTACAATATAAAGAAGAAATAAAAATCTCTTTAGAAAATAGTATATAGGTCTAGCAAATAGAAAATATAACAACAATAGCTTATACAAAGCTAAAATACCAACTAGCAATCTGGAAAAAAACACAGTTTAAGAAAGACTACACAATATATAAAAAGTGTATTAGAAAAAAACAAGTATATAAAGTCAGTTGAAGAAAAAGCAACAAGAAAAAACAAATAAATGAAGTTAGATTTTGATTATAACAGCAGCAGAAAAGCAATAATAAAAGAACTTTACAAGAAAAACATAACTATAGCAGAAGCTATAAAAGAAGAAAAGACTAAAACAAAACAATGCATAAAACAAAAATATTATATAAAAACCAAGAAGAAAAGAAAAACATCACAACAAAAATGCTTAATAAGAAGAGTAAAAAAAAAGAAACTAAAGAAGGAAAAATAGACAAATTTCTAATAATTTGAGATCTTTTAGCAAATATAAAAGAGAAAGAAATCAAATTTATTTGTAGAAATATATAAAATGCACAAGTGATTAAAATCAAAAGAAAGAATATAATAACCTAGTGAAATGGTCAGGTTGTTAACCTTTCAAGTAATAGGTTAGGTGTTCAAATCCTATCAATAATGAAAATTTAGATAATTATCTATGTAATATTTGTATTATGGCAACTATTACTAATGATTAGGTTAGAATATCTATAATGGTGATCACATCAGCATGACTAACAGGTCATAAGACATTTGTATAAGTATAGCATTATATAGAGGAATGAAACTAACAAATCAGATGGTGCAAATACTAGAGAAGTCTTTGTGGCCATATAAATCTGTTGAAATTAGGTAACAAGAAGTTCATTTAAGAAGATCTGAGTAGAAAGGTAGCTGGATCTTTGATGGCCCTACTGTAAAGGCTAGTCTGAGAAAATAGATACCAAGATCATAGTATCCAGTCATAGTAGCTGGACAAGCAAGA